AATCTGTGATCACTGTTATTATATGCCTGTAGTCACTATATCTATCTCATAATACCAGTGCATGCTTAATCACTAGCAATTCCTTTTTATACCCTGAGTAATTGAGCTCAGCGCCTGATAGTTTTCTATCATTGTATATCACTGAGTGCAGCTTGTTATTCTTACTTATCTGTAGAAGAGCATCTCTGATAGCTTATTCAGATATGTTTATCTTGATATAGAAAGATTTATCATAATCTGATTGAATAAGTACTGAGAATATTATCATATATTCTCTCAGTGTGAGAAAGATCTCTTCATATACAGTATTTCAGATAATTGACTGAAACTTCTTCTTCTGCAGATTATCATCTATTTCTCTTAAGAGATCTGAGAGTGATACAGCTATTCATATGAAATCCTTAATAAATCTGTGATAGTATGAGATTAATTTAAGAAATTATTGTATATGATGTATATTTCTCAGTTATAATCAATTCACTATGACATTCAATTTCTCTGAGATGAGGTGTATACAGTCATCACTTCTCACATGTTTCATGAACTTCAACTCTTCTGTTTCAAACACATACATGATTAATTTGATATAGAGCTTATACTCTATCACAGTTGTAAGCACTTTATTGAGATGCTTCAGATATTCATTATATAAGTTTGAGAAGACTAGAATGTTATTCAGATATACAAGATATGAGATTTCATTCTGTTTATAAAGAATTATATTCATCATTATTTAAAAGATGGCAGACATATTTATCAGACTGAATAATATTATCAGGAATTTGAACTTCTCTTATTATATATTAAATACTGTTCATGATACTGACAGTTTATCTATATGAATCTGCTAGTATTCTGAGAGAAGATTAATCTTTAATAGATATCAGGCATTTTTAACTGTATTCAACTATTGTTGAATTTATGACAGTGAATATTCATTCTTGATTATAAGCTTATTAAGTGCTTAATAATTGATACACATTCATCACTTCTCACTCATCTTTTTTATAAATAGAACTGAGAAGTCTTACATACTTAATAAGAATTATATAAGATTATGTTCTAGAAGATCTGTGATCTGACACTTCTGTTCTTTAAGATGCATTTGCAACAGAGAGTATATATTTTGATTGACTGATTTTGCATCTCTTATATTGATCTTATGCATAAATTCTCATTTCAGCAGTAATTTCAGTGAAAGATCTGTTCAGAAGATCTTCTTATACTTCTTCAGAAGTTTCTTCATACACTTGTTCTTCTGTATATTCTTTATCTTGGTTTTCTTCACTTCTGAGTTCTGTATGACATACAGAATGCTTTCAGATAAGATCTTGTAAATCATTCTCTTTACTTATTGATGTATAAGTAGATTTAACTCTTCTATATCAGAGATGTGAAATGTTCTTCTTATATCAGTTGATAGAATTATATGAACTGTTTTCTTTCTATCAGTTAACTGTATATAATATATACATCATTGAATCTGCAGATTAAATCTTTGAAATCAATTAAGTTTAAGAATAAGATTATATTTCATGTTCTACAGCTCTCATACTTAAATATAGCAAGATCATTCTCTGAAGTATAAGAAAACTCTTACTCTTACAAGTAATATTAAATATCAGTTATTAAATAATCTTATATATTAAGAATTCTTCACTCAGCAGACCTCTTTCAGTCTTTAAATTATATAATTATCAATATATTGTATAGAAGCTTCTGTGTTCATTAACACTTTTACAATTATCTCTCAATTCTTACTCAAGTGCTCTCTATATATTAATATTTCAGATCTCAAGATATTGAGATTAGTATTCTCTTTATTATTCTCATCTGCATCTTATTCAGAAGTCTGCTTTCTCTTGATATTTACAGAATTTAGAGAGTCATCTAACATAGGCATCTCTTTCACTTTGAAGACTTTTCATAGAATATCAGTAAGTGTCTTTAAGCTCACTGATTCTGCTAGTTTTTTGACTCTCTTGACTGTGCAGACTGTGCATAATCTTTTATATCATGATTTTGACATCTGCAGTTGAAGCAAGCTTGATACTTATAATATCAAGGTTTTCACTTAGAAAATCTCTTTTTCAGAGAATTCAGTGCTTTAGCAATAACATTCAAATCTAGATTTATCACATCTGAGTATGTAGCTTATGTCATAGAAGTCTGATTACTTGTTCTCTACTGAGATATACTCAATTGCAGTATTTTCTGTTATAATTGACTTACTTATTTCTGTATAATGAGAATATTATATACTTCTTTCACTGTATCTGATTATAAGATTAAGTATTTTCATTCTGCTCTCAATTCAGGTATAAGATTATGAATAAAGATCTGTAAACAGAAAGATGTTGAAAGCTCTTTATTCAATATAAGATAGTGTAAACTGAAGTGTATAAAGTATGATATAAGATTACTTACTTATCTACACTTAGTAAAGTATTTATAATACTTATCTTATATATTCACTTTCTCAAAGTTGTGCAAGATTCATTTGAAAAACTTATTTCATATTCATGACAATGAATATTATTCTGAGTCTGTAAGATTTATCTTTTTATCAGTCATTTATAATAACTTCACTTTTCTGTGTAGAAATACAGCAGATTTTAAGACTCATTGAAATTCTGTTAACTATCTGTCTGTAAGTTCACATTCAATTCAATAATATAATTGTATCTGACTTAGTCAGCTGATTACAGCATTATTTTTTCAGTTGTTATTAAAGCTTGATAGTTCTAACAGATCTTCTGACTTGATATATCTCATATTCACATTCTCATTCTGTATAGCAGTCTCTGATGATGTGTATACTTCTGAAGAGATTGTAAACAATTATAATAAAATCTTCAGATTCAGTGTAATTATCTGTCTATATAAATATTTAATCTCTCACTGCAGGTCTATGACCTGATTTTCTCTATTCTTATTAATGATGATAATTGTGTCAGCAAAGCTCTGCATAGTAAATACTTAATCTGCAGTGAATATTAATTATTGTTTGACTTCTATCTCAGTCTGTCACTGTATATACAAGACCTCAATCTCATTTAGAATTCTTGTATATGTATAAAGCTTCAATTTCAGTTCAGTAGTCTCAGCTGCTTTTCTTACTACTTTAAGTAAATTCTCTGAAAGGTTCTGCATATCTTCCAGTTCAGATAGTAGAGAAGAGTGTTTGTATTAACTAAAGAAGATGTTCATTTCAGTGATTTCTCATTGATTGTACAATTTCTATCATTATATTATTATATTATTATATTATTATATAATTTCTGATTTCTGTTTTCTATTATCATTGTATAACTTCAGTGATAATCACTCTTCTTTTTATTCTTCTTTTAAGTAGAAAGTGAACTTCTTTGCATCTGATTCGCTGCTCTCATTCTCTTTCTCATATCTCATCTGTTCACATATGTATCATTCATCTGAGTGTGAAGTTTTTCCTCAACAAATAAAACAGTATGAATTGAATACTTTTTCACTTACTGCTCTTTATACACTATCTTTTGAGACATTTTTAGAATCACACTGATATGATAACTATGAATCACTTCATAGATAGAATTATCATACTCTGAAGAAGCCTGTGCGTCTCACTGGTTTTTAGATATGCTATCAGATGTGATTCAAAGATTGCTTGAGTCAGTGTATAATTACAGATGTACACTGACTTCTTATATACAGTACACTAAATTAATTGATGACCGCTATGACTTCTTTACATTCGTAAGCAAGTTCGGAAGCAGCCGTGTTATTATCCGGCGGTCATACGTTCTTTCAAACCACATCAGATTCATAGTCTTGTAAATATCATCTTTGTAAACTCTATCATTGTTAGAGAATATTAAGCTCCTGTTTTAAGTAATTAATAAAATGTCTTATTTAGATAGTTAATTAAGTTCTAACATAAGATTATAATTAAGATTATTAACTTTATATACATAGATATCTTCATGTTAATGTTCTCTGATATCTATGTTTAGTTTTATTATATAATAAGTACAAACATCTTTTGAATCATCAAATTCTGTGAGAAGTCAGAGTTTTAATAAGAGAATATACTGAAGATTATAATGTCTTATAACTGAAGATTTAATTATTGTATAGTAACATAGATCACTATCTATTATAATCTTCATATTATATATATTATTTATTACAGTAGATATAAGAATTGTATTTATTATTATCTTTTCTTTAAATTATTATTATCTGATCTTTTCAAGCTTCTGTTTATGAATTTGAATAGAAGCTAATCTTTTCCCTGTTTTATCAGAGTATTTTTATAGTTATCTTCTGAATCTTTCTTCAATACAATATGATTAACACAGACAGACACTGATTCATTCTTTAAGTGAGAATAGACTGACTGTGTAACTGTGTCTGAGACCAGAATCAAACTTTACAGTTGTCACATTGTCTAAAAGCATTACTTCTGATCATGATTTATGTTCATTACATTGATTTCAAATTCTATTATTTCAAATATTAAAGATCTCAGATTCACTTTTCAAATAAAAATCTAGTCTCAGATAAAGAATATATTTGAATTCTTAGTCACATTTTCATTCTGATCTCATTATTGAAAATGGCATTAAATGAGATTATGAAATCATTTCTCACTTACATAATATCATAACATAGTACTCATTTGTTGAAAATTCAACAGAGAGTGTTATCAAATATTATTACTTTTCTAAACACAGATTATAATCAATATCATTTTAATTAAAAAAAAAATATAAAATACAAAAAATAACAAAAAAACAAAAAATAAAATAATAAGAAAAAATCACAACAAAAAAAAAAAAAAAAAAGAGAAAGAAAAAAAGAAGAGAAAGAAAAAAAGAGAAAGAAAGAGAAAGAAAAAAAAAAAAAGAAAAGAAAAAGAAAAAAATAATAAAAAAAAAATAAAAGAAAAAGAAAAAAATAAAAAATAAAAACAAAAAAAAATCAAGATTGCAGAGCTGCAGTATTCTTAAAATACTTACTTCTCAGAGTCTTTGCAATATTCATTATCAACTGTGTATCTCTCACAGTGAGAGTAATACAGCTGTGATGAGTTATTGTCTTAACATTATCTAATAAATAATCAGTATATATCTATATAAATGTGAATAATTAGAAAATATACACTTAAAAAGTGTGATCAGAGTGAACTCTGCTGCCACTTGAATGACATTAAGAACAGAATACTGAAATTGATGATTTTTCTCATTGATTTCACAGACAAGGCATGCAAAGATGATCTTGAGAAATATAAGATCTTCTGACTTCTGATAGAAACAGATCTCACAGAGAGACTTTATTTTCATCATATCAGAGACTGAGTGTTATTAAAAAGCATTACTTCAATACACATGCACTTACTACAGTAATTCACTCTCTGTGCATGTAGTCAAGAGTTGCAGCTTTTTCATATCACACAGCTCTCTCTGAGATGCTGCTGCTGATTTACAATTCATGCAGTCTCTCAGTTCAGCACACACTGTGTATATACAGCTCTGCATGCTGAGACTGTATTGATTATTATGATCTGATGTGACACTCACTTTTCACAGGCCATGTTTCATTTAATTGAGGAGAAGAGAGAATACAACTGCTGTTTTATTTGAGAGAAGATGAGTAATTGAATCTGTAGAAGATAATTTAATTTCTTCTGTATTTAAAATTTGATTAGTCTATACTCTTCAATTTGAGAGTTTCTGAGAGTGTTTTAATAGTTTTCATACTAGCTTGAAATTAGTGATTGATTGAAGAAGAGAAAAGAGAGAAGAAAGAAATGAGAATAACTTATCTTTATAATATAAAAATAGAGAATTGCTGCAATTATTTATTCTAGTAATAAAGATCTGTTTTCTGCATGTATTTCTGATACAGATTATATAATAACTGTATACAAAGAATATCAACAGTGCATGTATTAAATGAAGATAATATTGCTATATAACACTGTAGCTGTTTCTGTACATTACTGAAAGCTGTTAATATTTTCTTTAAGTCTCTTTATATTTGATAAGTCAGTAATATATTTCAATACACTTTCTCTTTCATCATCATCATTATCATTATTATTATTATCATTATCACTATCATCATCATTATTATTATTATCATTATCATTATTATTATTATTATTATATTATTTCTGATCATCTCTTCTGTCTTTATCTCTCTTCAACACTTATTAAAATCAATTATGTTATCTCTCTTCAAATATTCTGCAGTTCTGCAGATTATCAAGACATGTGAGCACTGTCACAGATTGAAGAGAGAGAAGAAGAAGATGTTCAAGTGAGAAAAGACAGATTATAAGATATATTATAATGTCTTGAAGAGACTCTGTAAAAGAGTAAAATAATAACAATTTTAAGTAACACTTCTGATAGATTTAGACTGAACTAAGTATAGAAATAATACAGATGATGCTGCCTGTGAGAGATTGAAGAAGAAGACAGTGAAGAGTCTTATACAGTAGTGATGAAATCAGAAGAAGTTCTGAGAATGATTTGAGACTAAGATGAAGAGAGAGAGAGAGAAGAAGAGTATTACTGTAAATAAGCAGCAGTAGAAGAAGATTAAGAGAATGTTAAAGTGAGAGACAAAGAAGTTAAAACTGATAAGTTTTTTATTTATTGAGAGATAATGATTTTTAATAACACTTCTGTTCTCTAATTAATTAGCAGAAGCTGACAGAGAAGAAGGGAATTAAGGCCTTATTCAGGTCTTGAATGTGCTTCATAATTCAGAACATTAAGAAGACAGCTCTGCTCTCTCCCTGATGGCTGAATGGTTAATGCGGCCACCTGGTAGCGCCTTGGCGTGGGAAACCAAGACGCGTGGGTTCGAAACCTGCAGGGGATACATTAAATCCGGAACTCAAGCACCTCAGATTTCTAATAAATACAGAGGTGTACAAATCACTTCAATGAATTGCTCTATGTTTCTGAGCTGGGAAGTTATTATTGCATGTATCTAATTGTCACTTCTTTGTATTTTCTTATGTTCTTGTTATCTTGACATGATCTCAACACCTGTATTTCCTCCTGTATAATCAACACTTAACCTGTATTTAACATTACGCAAGGACTCATCATAAGCTCCGCTTGCATATGAGTATAATGAAAGAATAATAATAATAATAATAATAACAGCTCTGCTCTCTGAGCATGTCAATCTGCTTACTGCTGAGATGAAACCTGAGGCAGCAGACTAGAAAATGTGAGATTTTAAGACACAGATTAACCTGGCTGAGAGAGAGCAGTGAGAACTCTTCTCTGAGAAGACAGTGAAGAGAGATTTTGAGATGATTATCATCTCAGATAAGAAGAAGAAGAAGAAGAAGAAGAATGAGAAGTGAATTATAAAGAATAATAAGAAGAATGAGAAAGAGCAGAAAGATAATAAGTAGAAAAAGTTTTTTTCTTTTTATATTAGTTAGTTATAAGTTCATAATTATTAATAATTGAAATTAATTTTGAGTTTTTAAAAATTATTGTACAAGTTGTAATCAAGTCAGGAATAATATATATATATATATATATCTATAATGTATAAGTATCAACATTTTTTCAACATTGATATTCACAATTATTAATATATTTTTAATAATATCATCTGATAATGCAATTTAGTAACACTCTCTTTCACAATATTAATATATTTCAAGAAATATGACAGAGATTAATCAAGATTATTTGTTTACTTTTATATATCAATGATATTCAATCTGAGTTAGTACTAAAATTATAACTAAGCTAAGAAACAAGATTATTTTCTCTTATATTAATTCTTCTTACACACATCAGTGATTAGTTATTGAAAATAAATTATCATCTTTCTCAAATTATTATTATGTCTTCTGAATTCACTTCTTTCACTTCTTTTATTTCTATTGAAGATTCATAAACTCTTCAAGAAATCACTGCGAATTACAAAGTCTATATTGTTTACAATTCAACACAGAATGCTCTCTTTCAATTATAATAAATAATTACTTCATTTTTCACATCTGATTTCAGGTCATGAAATTTATGAAATACTCAACACAAACACTGAGATGAACTATGAAATAATTATCAACAGATTGCATTGCAGATTACTGAAGAGTCATCTCTCTGCTACAATCACTGTAACTTTATTCAGAAACATTCATCATGAACTGATTATAGCTCTGAAGAAATTTTTCAACATCTGAAGTTATCAGAATGTAGATAATAAAAGAAAAATAATCAGAGGATTACTACTGAGCTGATAAGTTACTCTATCAGATAATAATTTTTGATAATACTAACTTTCTAATTTGAAGAAAATCATGTAAAAATAACTATGTATCAGTACTCTGATTTCATAACTCTTATCTGATAACTTCTGTGAATAATTACTTCATATATGTATATCTCTGAATCTTTCTCTTCAATCAATTGAAAACCCTGAATTTCAAACACTTCTTCAAATACTTAATTCAAATCTTTATATTTCACATTGATTCTGTCTTCAGTTCAACCTCAAGATATACTACAAAGTCAATATATAATATCTAGAATCAGAGTTGAAGAATCATTGAAGAGTGTCTCTCACAGTGAATACATGAACTAGTATAAATAATCTTGCATTTATAAGAGTTATATGTTATTACATTGATGAGAACTGAACTTATCAAGAGACATTAATTGAATTTAAATCATTGATCAGTAGTCATACTGAGAATTATATAGCAGAGATATTAATAATGGTGATTAAAAATGACTATTGAGATATTAGTCTCAGTCTTCTTATAATTACAACTGATAATGCTGTGAATAACTACACTATGATAAAGAGCTTAGAGTAAAAATTGACTTTGCATTTCTGAAATGATAAACAAGGTCATATTCTCTGTATTGCTCATGTGATTCAACTTGTAATATAAACACTAATAAAGAATCTTAATATTGAGATGAAGAATAATGAGATGACTGATTCTTAGAATGAGAATGAGATGAAAGTAATTACTTAAGTAACTTTTACATTCACTTTGTAAAAGATAATGTTTTTTAATAATACTTTTTAATATTGCTTTTTAATAATACTTTTTGATAATACTACTGTTAATTTTGAATAGATTGACTAATAATTTAAATATCACAGATTTGAAACATTGTTAATATGATTTGTATCTTCTCTAAATAATAATAATGATTTCATAATATTCAATAAATAAACAAATCAGTCACATCACTGAATATAATACAGAATGTTAGAACACAGTGAAGTTCAATATATGAGATAACTGTTCAGACTCTTCAATTATATCAGATGATTGATCATTGAGTGTAACACTCTAATTGAGAAAAGATTCAGATATTGAAACTTTCTGATATGAAGTGAACTCAGTTGAAATATATGATTGATTTACTGTTTCAGTTTTATAAGATAATAAAGACAGTCTCAATCACTTGTACATCAATACTGCAGTCAGTCTGATAAGTGTATAACAGTTTATTTACTTATCTTAAGAAGCAGTTAAATCACTTAAAAAGAAATTCAGTCTGAGATAATGCTATAGTGCAGGCTATTATTGCTGTAAGAAATAAACTGATATATTACTACAGTAAAACTGAACAATCTTTTACAGAGTACTATACTGTAGCAGCTCTACTAGATCTCTCTTATTAAGTTAATATCTACACTTCTCAAGATTGAACAGAGAAGAAATGAGACTCATATGTTAAATTAGTCTGAGACTACTACAATATCAACTATCAGAGATTTGAATAAGCAGATATTCAAGATATGAAGATAGTGAAATATAATTCTCTAGTAAGTAATGATCTTTGATAACACTTTATATTATATAGAACTATAATACTAACTTTGAAACAGAACTTACATACATTAATTACAACTGAAAATCAGGCAAAACTACATACTTATAAAACTGAATTTGACTGCTATCTTCAAGATAATCTGATGAATTTACACATTAAATCAATTCTAGAGTTATGAAAAATTATTGAGAGTATATATTCAACTATTACACTGATAATATGTGATATTCTGACAATTTCATTGACAGAGATAAGAATGAAGTGAAAGTTTAACTCAAGTTAAGATATTTATCACTATCACTGAGAACAATTACAGAGAGAAACAATCAAGAAACTCATAATTATAAAACATGAAATTATCAGACAGTTTAATATCTCTGATCACAGTATATCAGAGAAGTGTAGTTTTCATAAGAAAGTGAAGAATAAACTTATACAAGAATGTATTTAGTTGTTTCATGAGCATTATCAATAATTATTATCAAATTCTGATTATATAAGTAATCACTGAATGAACTGAATGAGACTGATTTTGATCTTCAGTCTCAGTCTCATTGTGGTTCGGAAGAACGTACGACCGTCGGATAATAACGCGGCCGCTTCCGAACTACTAGCGTACGAATGTAAAGAGGGCCATAGCGGCCACTAATTAATTTAGTGTACAAGATTCAATATATATAAGAAGCCGGCGTACGCCTGTAATTGTAC